CCAACTTATACATTGTTAATAACATAATTTTATATACGTGCCTATCTTGCCCCATTACTGTTGCCCCTATACCAGGGGCAACTTTAATAAAAATAATTAAAATAATTACAACTTTACAAAAAGAGAGAAGTTGCCGATCTTGCCCCTATACCCGGGGCAACTTCGTCAATTTCTCTCTTCTTGTAAAGTTGTAATTATTTTAATTATTTTTATGTCCAAACTGATTTTAACCAGATGTATAGCAAGGTAACATTCCAATAGACAATATGCAAAAGGTTTTTTTCAGTTTACAGCAGTATTTATTACACAAAATTTAAGTAAAGCTTAACATGCCGATCTTGCCCCGATCTCCCCTAAATATAAGCATAAATATTCATTTTTTGTAGATAATAAACTTTTGCATGTTTATGAATATTATAATAAAGGAAGTAATTATTTTATAAAATATATTTTAAAAAATAAAAAAAATTTTAATATAAGTTGTAAGAGTATATGTTAGTATATATTTTCTCCAGCAAATGACATGAAAGTATTTAGATTTCCTAGGCCTATATTTATAACTAAACAGAATATTACATATCCTTCTTCTACATTTATAAAGTTGTGTCTCCTCCCTCTCAGCATAGAAAAAAAACTAGTATAGTATATATAGATTATTTTTTTAAACCATTAAAAAAAAAAAAGATTTTTCTTACTGAAAGATAACATTGTAATAGAAAAATTGTACATAGAACATAGAAATATTCTTGTAAGGTTAGATAATTGTTTGTAAGAATTCATACGCTCTTGCTTTGTTTCAAGAAGGCAAGAGCTTACTCATGGGTATTTGCATTTTCAGGAGTAACTATAATAATGACAACACTAATAATAATGATTAAAAAAAGGATTTTAAAAAATGTGTCCTTCCAAAATTCCCGCTAAAAGTAAATATTTAAAAAAACTTAGAATACAGTCGTATAGCATTTTACAGAAGCTCACATCTTGGAAAAAATACACGAATTGTTTAATTTAAAATGACTCATAAATGTTTAATGTTCAAATCATAAATGTTTTATAACCGAATAAAATTGTATCCAGCTTTTACTGTGTTCCTTTGTTTTATTTAAATAGTAAAAATATCGCATCTTTACTGTAAAATTTTAAGAAGCTTTTGAAGCTTGGAGTAATTTTGAAATATTCAATAGATAATTACGTATAGGACTCATTAAAAGTCCTGTACGAAATTATTAAAGATAAAAAAACATAATAATTTTCGAAATTAAAACATTTAAAATATAATAATTATGTAAATAAAAAAAACCTTTTAAATTATTTTATAAACTATAACGATTTCCAATATTAAAAGAAATCTTAAATTTTCCCAATATAATAGAACACTTATACACCTCCCGAATGACGTCACGAAACACGACCCTCCGTTCGTTGCTAAGGCAACCACTTCCACATCTAGTGTCAATTGAATTAGCAAATTGCAAATACTTGTTTCATATAAATTAGCAATTTATTCTAAAGACGAAAAATATGAAATAAAACAAAATTTCTCGAAGATGATGTTGAAAAAAAGTCAGCAGAAAATGCATTTAAAAATAATATTTTCCTAACGTTATAATTTTTTAAAATAGTTTATATATATATAAATATATATAAGTTTCTGGAGATTTAATCACATTTAAGTTAGAAACGATTTCTTCCGTCCTTAATGGAGATATAAAACGACGTTAGATTCTATCCTTAATTTATCATCAATAGTCGGAAATAAAGACGAACCGTTATTGTCCATGTTACATGACGAATATCATGTTATGAAATTAAGAATAATTTCGGTAGGATGATGATAAATAAGCGATTTTGACGTCACTCTAGCGTGACTAAGTTCGATGATAGTTTGAAAGTTCGTTAAGGAGAAAAGGTCGATAGTTCCCCGAAGAACAAAAGGTAAATGTTCTGAATCACGTTCAAACGATTTACCTGAGAACTTGCAGAACTTGACAAAAACTTTCTTTTGGCACATAAAATCGACATAGAATTTAAAAGTAGAAAAAAATCAAGGATTTTTTTCAAATTAAAAAAAAAAACCTATAATTCAACTCACTCTAAAGAAATTAAAAGTAAGCAGAAAAACTGGGAGCTAAGCTGATATTTATCTTTAAACATTCGCATTAATCTGTAAAATCTTTAATTAAGCAAACTTAAATTAACGAATTTAACACAAACAATAAATACATTATTTATTTCCGTTCAGTTTATTGGCATGAAACCATACAAATTATGTATCAGAATAGTTTTAATTTAAAAATTTAAGCTAAAATATTCAAACGAAGAAAATTTGTCATCAATTTTAGGAATAACCCTTAAGAATTTAAGTTCTGAATCATTCCATTCAAACTCTAACTCAAAAGTGAGAGCTGTCTATACTAAACACCTATAGAAAAAATTGTATATTTTATTAAATATTTTGCTAAAACTTGCATCAAATTTAGAAAAATTTTGATAAGAATAGAAACCGATATAAATAGTTTATTCTTTGAACGCTGCTGTGATTACAAGCGATAAAATAATGGAGATGTAGGAAAACTAACCTAAATTTATATAAATTTATATAATCACAATTGGTATTTATAGAATATTAATTGTTTTCAAATGTTTTGAATGATAATATAGTTAGCAAATTCCAAAACCGGCACACTATAAAAAACAATTGTGGCATTGTCAAATATGTAGCCTTGAAAAAGTTGTCATGGAAATATTAGTTAATATTTTGTGACAGGGAAAGTTTAGAAATATTTATAGAAATTTGATTTAAATCTTAAAAGAATAACTCCTTTTCAATATATCTTTGCTATTTCAATAAGGAAGTTAGAATTTTACATATTTATCTTTATACGATTATGATAAAGATGCTTTAACTATAACTATAACAAAAATTCATATCAGAGCTATAGAATATTATAAAAAAACTTAAATTATCTCTTTATAGGATAAAGATTATAACTAATTAAAATGATCATTCCAAAGAGAATTTCGCCAATATCTTAATGAATTTGTTTTCGTCGAGTTTGTTTCTTTGACAGTTAAAATTAATTGCGTTCATTATAATTGATAATGCATCCATCAATACAGCATCCATCGACTCGATCTTACACTTCACTCTCACACGTATTCCCTTCAATTAAACAAACGGAAAATGGTCCAATTCAGCGTTGCATGTTGTAATTTACTAACTTCATCTCTTCTTTATAAAAAATTATAGAAAAATAATCATTTTAATAACTTTTTCTGTCTTATTTAAGCATAAAATTGAACACTTCGTCCCTCTTCTTCTTAGCCTTCTCGTCTTTTTTAACTGTGAAAATTCTTATAATTCTTCAAAGTGAAATAAAAGGGGAATGAAGAAGATATAAAGAAATTCATCTGCAAACTTCAACTATAGGCAGCGACATTTAAGAGAAACTTACAATCACATTAAAACAAGTAAAGTTTTTATCTCTTTATCAGAATTTATAAGTAACGAAAGCTGGAATAATGCATTTCAACAACAAGTCCAAAGTCACAAGAACAAATTTTCACCAATAAATTAATCTAATAAAGCGATGGAAGGCAATTCGCATGGCTTTCATTGTTCCTCTACATAAACGCGTGTCATTAGAAAACATTTAAAAGATGTTACGTGATATTAAGTCGGCTAATTAGTTCGAACAACAAATGCTGAAATATTAATCTAATTAAACGGGCATTGTGATATTTCGCCTTTTAATCTTTGTTTGAATCATTCTAGAGCTGTACTCTTCATCTCTATCGCAGTTTCAATAACCGAGACATGATTAATTTGTTACGTTCTAATCCTATCTGATAATCAGTGATTATAAGATTTTCATCTTTTCTGTCTTATGCTAATTTTAAAATTTGCAATTATTCCGAATCTTGTCAGTATTTAAAAGAATTAAACGATAATTATCAACGAACGTCGTTATTTTCTTTGATTGGATATTATTATTTTTTGATTTTCATCCAGTAACACACTATTTTAAAATTCGCCTACCACATTCTTTACTATTTTTAACAATATTTCACTTCATCTTTATTAAATTGTTTTACAGTTATTTCATGAATATAAATGAGAATATTCTTAGTCTAGAATAGTAATATTCTATACTAAGAATATTACACACGCAGTTTTTATTTATTTTGATTTAAACTAATAATTTCAGTAATATGTTAATAAGCTACATTTTCTTTAACAAGTTTTCTGCTTGATAATGATTTGATTTGAATCAATAGTCTTTAATACATTAATTAAAGTTTCAGAATTAGTGATTCAGCAAATTAATATGACAAAATTTCTTATTTTATAGTGTTTAAATTCAGTTTTATCTGATTTTTAATCATTTAACAATTGTTTAACAATATTTTTTACTGTTACTTTTTGATTCGATATGTATTCTGTAGTTTGATATATCAATAAATTACATTTCGATAACCTTTGCTTTATAGTAATTTAGCATTTCTTAATTCAATGCTTTAAGTTAATTAGCATTGTTTAGATTTAATAAGTTGTTCAGTAATATTTTAATAATAATATTCGAGTTACACAATTTTGTTTTGATTATTGTAATTCTATAGTTTCTGATTCAATATTACAGTAAAAAAATGAACTTTACTTCATTAAACTCGACAGTTGAAAGTTCAATAATTCTTTCAGTTTGGAAAATTTCCTAGTATATTTAGTAACATTTCTTTGGTTCTTTAAAGCCGAGTTATCCATTTTATATTGTCAGAAATATCTTGATTTCAGTAAATTCTGACTGAAAATGCTTGCCATATTGATATTTTGAATCAGTGTTAAGGACTACGTAATCGAATTAGCAATATTTTAAGGAGTTTAATGCATTGTCAACAGAGAAATTGAATTTTACTTACCTTTCGAACCTTCAGGTGTAGGCGGTTGACAATCCATCAACTGTTTTTCCACTTTGATACTGTCCATTGAGAAAGCTGGCATACCCGTGGAAAGACCACTGGTGGCTGTCGTGGTGTACGGAACTTCGTTATGACTGACTGGAATCGGGCTCATTGAATGTTCACTATTAGTTTCGTCGTCGTCTAGAGGTCTAAGTCGACTCTCGTCGATGACTAGAGGATTATCATCATCGGGGATTGGCAGAAGATGCTCTTCGAAACTCATCGACCTCTTTGGCGGTTCCTGGAGCTTGGCTTCGAGAATAGCGTATCTTTTACCTTGGGCACTTTCTTCTACTGCACACGAAGTGGTAGTGGGTGTCGATGGAGAGATGGGGGTTGGAAACTGAGGTTGATAACATGACGAATGAAGTATCTGTCCGGTATCGCAGGGTATGGGAGAAGAGTACTGAGTACCTGGGGAATGACACTGTGGAGAACCGGTAAATTCTAATCCCGGATCACACACTCTTTCAATTTTAGTTACGGGGGGAGGAACACTAATTACATTTTGACAGCTCGGTCTATACATTGGTACTTCGTGAGTCACGGCGTCGTCCATACCGCCATCGTCCTTACAAACCGCATGAGGTGGTCCGTATTGCTGCTGAGAAGCCATGATTGATTGAATATTTGCGCACTCTTCTTCTATTTTTAATAAATTCTCTACGTCGTAAGAGTCCGGTTTATCGTGTTGTTGTGGATGATACATATACATTTCACGTGATCCGTAAGTTACAGACCCTGTATGTGCCGGTTGAGGAGCCATTTCGGGACTCTGGGGTTGATCTTCTTCTTCCATGGTATCGACCATATCTTCCATTTTGATTTCCACTGCCTGACAATGTTGTTCCCTTTCGCGGTAAATACATGAACACGGACTTGATTCCGAATCGTCTCTCCTCTCCTCTTTCACAGTCGACACAGGAGACAAAATGGGAGATCGAAGCGGCGACCTGTCAATGCTTCCACAAGAACTACTAGAGGCACTCAGATTGACAACATCTTTCCACGAATTGGTTACCGACTCTCCAGATGGTTTAACATTGTCTTTCTTTTCGAATAAGTTCTCGAACATGGGTTTATCGTCGGGTTCCACATAAAAACCGGCTCCTTCACCAAAATCGCCAGTTAGACTTCTCAAAGCAGCTTCGGCTTCTTGAATCCTTTTAGTATCTTCATCAACTTCCATCGGCTCTTCCGTTTGCCGCTTTGGCAACTCGTCCACCTTCTCCGTCTCCTCTGTGCTCGTTTCGGCTTCATCAACGGGCGTCATCACTTCCGTTTTCCCGTCATCTACTTCTTCCAGCTGCAAACTTTCCGTTGAACATTTGTCCGTTTTGGAAGCACATCTTTCTTCATCTTCCTCTTTTAATGTAGATGGCTTATCTTCTTCGTTATCCGCATTGTTCAAATTTTCGATAGTCTGTGTTGTGCTCTTCTTTTCGTTCCTTTTGGTCTTCTCGCTGGAGTGATCTCCGGAGGAGAGTTTTCTCTTCTTAGCGGCGATAGGACAGCCAGCAACCCTGACGACAGAAAGTTTTACGGATTGTTAGACGGTAGACGTGCCAATTACCGCGTGATTTGTGGCGGCGGTAACTCAGTGGACAATATAATTGACGTTCCTGGGACCCGCTGCCAAAAGATCCTAAAGCCACTCGGGAATTTGGTCATTTGTCCAGAGAATGCTATTGCTTCATACAAAGAAAGGAATATAGGGCCCGACTATTGGAATGGAGAGAAACGTATTTTTATGTCTTAGTGTATATACAAGTATATAGAATCTAACTCGATTAAGTTTGCATTGACATATTTAGGATCTCAAAAATTTCTATCAAATTAATCATATATCGTTGTAACGAAATTACTATTTTAAGACTTACAAAATGAATAAAATTTCAAATATTTAGATAAAATTAAAGATATCAAATTAATTTAACATAATATAACGCATAAAAGATCACTATAAAATTTTATATTAAGTCGTTAAATTCTACGTAAAATACCTTTTTATATGTTTTCGCTTTTTAATTAAATTTTTATAATTAACTTCTCGTTCTCAAATTTAAAATAAAATTGTTTTTTATACAAATTTTTAAATAATAAAAATATACCGTATGTCTCTTAGAAGATTACAATTAATTATAATTATATTTATTATCTTTTCGTCTTTATTGCATTTTTATTAGTTAGACTGTAATGTAAAATATTATAATAAGAAATTTCAAAGCGTATTATTAAATTAAAATTGTTTACGGAAGGATAAAAATTTACTAAATCGATGAAAAATAAATTCCTTTAGTGGTTCTCTAAGTATAAAAATACGTTATTGAAATTTTCGTTATTATTTTCCTTTTTCTGAAATCAAAATATATGTAAATGTTCAAAATCGCATGTACAAAATATATTACGATTATTTAGATAATCGAAAATATTTTTAAACAACGAGAAATTAAATATCTCCGGACTTTGAACAATTACTAATCACATTTCATGTAGCCAATTATTATACAGAAAGCGCGAAAGAGAAATGTACTTGGTTGAGATGCTCCATACTTAAAATAGTAATAAAACATTTTTTATTTTTTAGTTTATGATGATAACATTCTTACCGAATGAAAGAGGCAATTGTAGTAATGCATGTTCACGGCATTACCTAAATAATAATCAAATATTAGGTATTTCTCTCTCGCACTTACCATTTTATATAAGAAAAAAAACTGTCAAAATTCACTCAAAATTTATTAAAGTTATACAAAATCTAAATCTGTTATTATATAGTCCAGCGTCATATATCTTATTAAATAATTACAAATTTAGAATAAAATTATAGNGAAAAAAATAATTCTTATAATTTGGTAGAGACCGTTGGAAACTTCTGTTATCCTTTTCTTTCTAACAGCTCTTTTTACTGCCGTATTTACGTCTTTCGAACCACCCGTAAAATGGTCTCGTGACGATCTTACCGCATCCCAGATTCCCAGATTACTTCTATCGTTCTTACACCCACTCGAGTAAGATGATTTGTAAAAAGCGACCGTGTCATTCGTTTGTGGGCTTTCCCCCTTTTTTAGTATAATGAAAAGAAACCGGGCTGAACTAGAATGCTATTTTATGCCACGTCTTTATTAAGACCTATACAAAATTTCCACTCTATCGGAGAAGCATGAACCACGTTAAGAGTTTATCTAATAAATAGCGTTACTCTTGATTAACTACTTAATTTTTTAAAGTTAATGATATTTAGGGTTTACAGGTGAAAAAATACGTTAAAAATTAATTTACATATTACCTTCGATGATGTGAGTAGAGTCCTGTAGCATGACCTGTACCGTTGCATCCAGGAGTAGGACACTTACTCTCTGTTAAAGATTTTAAAATATTTTCAAAAAATTAGATTTGGTTAATAAAATAAATATATCAAAAATTCTGTTACGATTTTTAATCGTTTATTTAATGCATATATAGGAAAAAATAGTAAATTATTACGGTATAAATAAAGATACGACTAAGTGGTGGAACGGATGGGAGACTGCGAGACTTTATGACGTGTAACATACTAAGAAGGAATGAAGAATAGTTATGATCGCGCCCCTTGGCCTCTAAGTTTTCTTACGGCTTTTTACACCCCGAACATTCCTAATTTCCATCACGTGGTAGGTACTGGCGATGGTCCAACTTTTCTTGTTTACGTGACGTGAGTTTTAAGCACGTGCAGAGATCTTAAGTGACCCACATTGAGATTTGATGCAAGATTTGTAAATTGGTATTACTCTAATCAACTGGAAGTTGTAACAAACTTTTTATTTCGATGAATATCTATTTACATTATTAGTTATAATAATAGTTATAAACGAGAAAACATTTAACTTAGCAGAACTGGACGAGAATGTAGTAAATATGTCCAGGTATGGATAATTAAAAAGACGAAATAAAATGAAAATAATCATTTCTTTTAACACAAATAGTGGTCTTGTAATTTGAAAATTACAAGAAAAATTAAAATGAAATTTTTTTTAAATAACAAAACATCTACTACAATTGGTCGAAATATGAGTTTCTCAACGATGATTGGTGGAAAATATGATTATTTTTTTAAATCAATCAATTAAGAAATAAATTAATACAATTTTTAAACTTGTGAAATCAGCAGAGATAAGCGTAATTTTAACTATTTCAGTTTATTTCATCGATTCCTATGTAGAAAACCACATATATAGTTAGTTACAATGTATTTCGACTTATATCTTCGACGATCATTTGCGACCATAGTTTATGATCATTGGACTTGTATTAATTTAATTTTTGATATCCTATAAAAATTAATTCTTTACACTTAATTCCAATATAAAAACCATATTAAATTTTCAATGGTAATAGATAATAAAAAAATGTTTAAAAATCTGTTTAATGACAAAAATATACGGTTTTATTACAATTTTAGGCCTGTTAAATTACAAAATAAGAGGTAAGAGTCTAGAATATCCAAAATGTAATCTAGTAGAGAATCTATATTTGATGAACCTGATAAGGAATTCAGGTATTGGGTAGGATTGAAAGTGGGAGAAGGAATCTTCTAGAATATGCCATTGGAACCAAAATAACCTTTAAGAGAATGAAAGGGATAAAAGTTTCAAGTTAATGTCAACTTTAAAAAGTCCAATTTATCCGAATTGAATTAAATAAAGCTTTGCTCATCATTTGTCTCGAAAGGTAATAAATATATATTTTTTTATTTTATAAAAAAAATAGGTTCGAAGAATGTTAAATATTGTAAAGTTTCAAAATGTTTCCATTCAAGAAGTTACATGAATCCAATCGAAACATTTTAAAACTAATTATTACTGTCTAAAAATTTTTGTCAATTTTTTCAGATTTTTATTTACCTCTGTAAAAATTAGAAAAAATATATTTATATAAAGTAACATAAAATTATTAAATTAAGAGCATTAAACTTCATAAAATAATAGCATACGTATGTTTCAAAATATGTGCTTAACTGTGTTTGCAGATCCATATATACGTACGCGTGTGATTTTTCTTCTGTATCTCTACGGATTTATGAAGTTGATGTCAAAAGTTAAGCTGTGACCTTTAACATTCCATCATATCTTTGCACAGAAAATCATTGACACGATCATTGACGCGATCGAATTATTTATGAGACTGTTACGTGTTCTCATCATTCATTTAAGCTTTTTTTATATCTAGAAATTGTAAAAATTGTATTATATTTTTAATAACTGATATAATACATAAAGAAATTTAGTTTTTTTATATAGATCTATCGTAAAAGACAATATATTTTGTAGGATAAAATAAAGACTTTTAGAAGAAATAGATTATTTATAATTTAGATATTTTTAGAAAATAGCAGATAAACATTTAATTATTTTAAGAATAAAATTTTATTAACTTACAAAATGTTATAACACGTACAGTACACACATGTAATATTTAATATGTCAATATATAATTGAAAATGATAGTTCTAACCTATTTTGGGGTAGCAAAAACGCAATTTAATTACCTACCTATAAGTTTTAAATCTATCTAGGCCGTTTTATATCTAAGTAAATTATAAATTATATAGCAAAATACAAAAACCTAGTATTAGTTGTCTAGTGAATTATAAAGAATGTAACATACCTCGTCGTATACATGCTTTGGTTACTCAGCGAATTATGAATTATGTACTTAGTGAATTATAGACTAAATACTCAGTTACTTATGTACTTCAGTTACATAGTAAATTATGAACTACATATCCGGTTACATAGAAACTTAGCTATAGGGAATTACGAACTATTTAATGGAATATATTTAAAAAAAACTAGTTTAATAAATAATTGTCAAAACATTAACATGCAGGAAGATGAAGAAGAATTATCGTAAAGTTAATAGGTCAAAAATACTAGGAGTAAATAGTTATAAATAATAAAATATTACAATTATCTTCTATATTTTTATATTTTTTCATTTAATCAATAAAATATCACTTTCTTCGCTTTCAAAATTTGGTACAGAGTATATTCCATAAATTTATTATACAGTAACACGTTTCTCCCAATATACCAAATGTGTAAATATTAATATACAATTTTCGATTTTCTAATAAGGCAAACATCATAAACCTATGAATTAGATATCTGTTATTGAATTTCTATAATCTTAACATAGAAATGAGCCTATTTCGACCATCTAACAATGCCTAACTAGTACCTCTCAATCAAGTTATTTGAAAATTACAATACTTAACTAGTTAGAACTGACAACATAGTTATGTAATGAATTATAAATGATGTAAATATAAATCTAAACTCCTAAAATTCGAGTATTGTCTATTGTTTTTCTAATCATTCCGAAATCCATGTTATTTAAATGAAGAAATAATATAAGTAATTATAGTTTTTAACTTAAATTGTACTATGACTTATATTCTAGACATTAAGATCTTATTATTAATTATTTTAACTCTTGTGATTAATTGTAATAGTTTGAAGGATTAAAAAATATGAGATTTATAAGAAGTGAATAAAAAATTGCAGAAAGATTAAAAACGAAAATTTTATGACAGAAAATATTTTTAAAAAAATAAGAGAAGTATTTTGTTTCGCCTGACGAAAAATGAATCGAGAGCATGCGAGACATACGTTTTAAGAAGGCAAAAACTAGGTTATACAATTTTAAAAAAAACGAGAAATGATTTATTCGGATTTCTTATAATCTTTTAGAAGCTTATATTAGAAATTTAATTCCAAAGAAGCTAGCGAGAAGATAATTCTTTAGGCAGCGAGTTATTCGAGTAAACAATTTAAACCGTACGCAACTAATAATGAGGAAATTACGGTGACGCAAAATTCGCCATAAACCAGCCATATATGTCAACAGCTCAGTTGTAGAAACAGAAAAAAAGCACCATTCCGAGGCGTATTAAATAACCAAAGAATCTCTCTCTCAGGCGCGCGCGCTCCAACATCCCCCTTTTGCTCCCTTCATCCATCGCCAGCGTGATAATGGAAGTCTGTGATTTTAAGCCGTTGAGGTACCCGTTACATTTGCCGGCTGTGCCGTGTGCCAGCCAAGATTACAGCTCCCAAGTTTGGTAATAACGCTGGCGGTTTTTCCCATTAACCGAGCGAAATTACGATCTCTAGCAAACCATCCGGAACAAGCAGTGCCGACTGCGAATAGCTAGTATGCTGCTTACATGGCACGAGACGATGTCTTTCGGTTTTCGAACGTTTAAAGCGTGTTCTACTGTGCACACACCCTCGCATGGAAATGAAGGCTCAGTCGTAAATGTTGCTCCAATGAACACGTATTAACGTGTTCGAACCGTGCTGATTTTTTTCCTCGCATTATATTGAACCTCTGATTGCATCGTTTATAGAATTGATTGAGGGATTAATCTTCTATCGATAAAAATATTCGCCACTTCTCTTCATTTTACTGTTGCGAATCGCTTGAGTAAAAGTTTCTAGTAAACAACTCGAACGGGGAGAAAAAGTTATTTGTAGCGTCTATATATTTTTCAAATTTACAAGATGAAATATATGGAAAATTTGATTTGTATTTATAAACATTACCGTTATAATTTATAATGTAAAAAATGAAACGCGAATAATTATAAAATGTTTATAATTTATTAGAATATTTACAGTATTCACTATATTATAATATTAAATATATTTTCTACGTAATTAGACGACGTAAATACTGAAGCGAAAACGTCTTAAATTTATATGTAGGCCTGTATATATATATATTCATTAAATTATAAGCATATTTATGCTATGAATAAAGCCAAGTGTATGTGTACAGTACTTTGTCTTCTTAGTTGTATTAATATATATTGAATGTATAAATCTTATTGTTAATGACTTTTATATGATTATAAGAACAAGTAAGTTATTTAGTCATAAGTTATAGTCTACAATATTATATAACAGTTATAATTTTGTGTATCTTAATTCATAAGCACAACCTCAAAGTTAGGTGTTTGTACAATTAAAAATAATCTTTGGTTCATTTATTCCTTTATTTATATTGTAAATGACTATATAAATCACACACACACCCATATATATAATATATATATATATAGAGAGAGATATNATTCTTTCGGATGATTGACGTTTCGGATGATTGACTTTCGGAAAATCGACGCTCTACTGTATTACAAATTAAGACGTAAGAATTTTTTTTAATCTTAGAATTTAACATTCCTACATCTTCAGTTTAATTTCATCATGATTCATTTCTATTAATTTTAATCGTCTTTACTGATAAATCCTATTAAATTTCGATTAATACAAAGGCCACTGCTAAGTTTGAATTTGCATCTTAAAATAAGTGAAGTAAAAGGTATTTTGTTTATCAAAATTTTTCAAAATAATGTGCATGATAAGTAGCTTGCATTCAAAATATAACTGAACAGAATAAAAACCAAATTTTTATTAACAGAAAAAAACGAGTGTCGAGTGAGGTTTGAAATCTGATTCTATGATATTCAAGAATTTTTGTAATTATACGCCGTTTTAATTATGTAGAATTTTTATGATAATATTAGCGAATTTTTATTATTTACACATAAAGTTGTTAGATATATCAAATTAAATATAATTTTAGTATAATAGAACCGATATTTTATTGTATCATACTTCTTATTGCATGTAATAAATTATCTAGTTTTCACGAGAGTAAAAATGTCAAATTGTATTCTTAATCTAAAGACATAATACAATCTTGATATCATATAAAAACCTAAGTCATTACTAATTTCTGCTTCCTCTTGATACTTTCGAGTTTAAATACATAGAATTAAATAGAAAATTTCTTTTTGAATATTTCATTTGGCATCTACTTCCATAAACTTCTTTTTTTTTGTGAAGGATTAAATTTTTCGTTTTTATCATAAAAAATAAATTTAACCCAAGATTGAGTGGTCCTATCTTCAATTCATGACGATCAACTCGACATTTGTGTTGACTTACATTATTAGTAAATACATCAATTTGAAGAATATCGATAAAGCCGGACTCCTTGTTCTGACATCTTTCTTAATCTATCATATAACTGATGGTTTGGTTTCCCGAGAAGGGGGAAACTATTTTTGTTAAAGAAAATGATTTTTTGAAGCATAATATCGTCCTAGAAAACTCGAAGGTCACAATATTTTCGTTTGGTCACTTTCGGACTTAAGCGAAGTTCGCTGCGACGCTTGCACCTGTTCACTTGTATCATCGTCACTCAGGTGAATTCCTAATCCCTTAAAACGTCCTTAAAGATAGCCGAAGATTAAAAGTGTAAAACTTTCAACCAAAACTAAAGTTTTTAAAGTTAGTTTTTCTCTAAAGTATCCAAATATCAGTAGACTTTCCAATTTTAATCCCGTAAAAATATCGACAAACTTTTGCAAAGCCATATGTCTTATCTATCATATTTCTAAGTTAATATGAAATGACGAAATTTTGGAAAAATTGCATAGAGTTAAAACAAAACTATTTCACAAAGTGTATTATTTATATACATTTAATGTATTACAATATATTTTACTTCTCTAAACAAATTAAACGACACTAAAACTTTAATATTATATACTATAAAAAATCATTAAATTAATTTCATTAATTAATAATTTGTTAATATTATACAGATTTATTTTTATAGAATATAAAATACTTACCAGGACTTGTAGGCTGTACAGTTTTTCCTGGCGTTTTCTGTTCTTTCTGGGCTATCTTTTCCATAGCGGCTATTGGACAACCTGACAAACTAAAAAAATTTTTTAAATTTATTGATCACTTTAGAATTAGCCATTAAGTATGCCATTGTTTTGAAGTTTATAGAATAATTATTAGAGTGAACTATAAAGTAAAAAGATATTCACTAAATACTAAAGTACTTTATATGCACAATCAATCTAAGAAATATTCACCAAAGCAAGAATATATATCTGAGAGCTACTATCCCTCGATACATATATAGAACGATAATAGCTTTCAGATTCATTTATAATGACCAACCTATATTTAACCAACCAACCTTTCTATTGAGACTCAAGCATTCTGTTTTCTTAGAAATTTTTTAAGAAAATCACAAGTCATTATCTTAAGAACATATAATTTCATGTAACATCTTCACTATTCATCTTCCTATACTTTATTCTAGTGTGAGATAGAAAATATAAAAGCAAAATATTCAATCTAGAATAAAATTTAGTTTATTACTATAAACATAGTAACAGGCAATTCTAGAATCAAACATATATTCTAGAATAAGGTGTTTTAAAAACACTCGCACTCTTCATTCTCTAAAAAATAATATAAGCAATATTTCTCATTTTATACTGGATTTAAGTTAATAATTTACTTCAGAATGAGCTACTATGTCCCTGCAACTGCAAAGTAGAAGCATTTATCTCGTTCTAACAAAGGAGAGATTCTATATCACTATAGTAAGATATTATGCCTTTAAGCTTATAGATTGAGATAGCATGTCTGGAAGTATTCATCTCGTATACTGTAAGGTAAGGTGGTATTAAATCGATTTTCTGATTAATCTTGTTTATACTCGAAATGTGCTTCGTTGTTTTTAAAGAAGTGAAAGTAGAAAAATGGCGCTGAATTTTTTTATTTTGTTGAAATTGGTGTCTGGATGAAGCGGCGCCGGTGTTACAGTAAATGTCCGTTAGGCGGCGCTCCAACCGGAAGCAGTGTATTAATCAGAAAGAGTAGATGGGAATCGAACGGAACTGAAGTGAAAAACCATTAGTTTCCAATTCCGACGTACGATGTAAGAAATGCCGAGTTTTTCCTTGCTTTCTTTTCGTCTTTGTTCCTGTCTCATTCACTCTATTGTCCTGTCAACATGATTAAGTTGTTAAAGACGTCATTCATTCACAGTTCTGTCGCACCAACTGTCCAGATTCTCTTAATAATAATTAAATAGCACACGGGACGAAGCTTCTAAGAATCCCCAAAGAAAAACAGAAAGAAAAAGAGAAAAACGAGTCTATAGTTTACTATGTTATTCACTTTATCTCTTTCGTCCAGCTGGTCCGATAATGCCGTTTTGATTACAGTTATGGGCAATCTTGTAATGTCCGGTGCGATGCGCCGCGTCGCGACATAGCGAAACGAATATAGGCCTATATCTTTTATTCTATCTGTTTTCTTATCAAAACAAACTTAAACATTCTTAGACGTTTAATGCTTTAAGAGAAATAAAAAAATAAACTAATTATTTTAAAAACAATGCTCAGTAATCTGCACGCAGCGCGACGCGACATTCGCAAATTTAATAACTGATGATTGGTATGGTAATCAACCTCCAAACATTTATGTCTAAAATCCTGGCTTAAATTTCGCATATAGAATCAAAATTAGAGTTTAATAACAATTATCTACGTAACTAAGTAAACTTTCAACGTATTTCTGAATATGAAATAAATTACGGAATTTTCTACTTTAAGAAGTTTAATTTTGTTTAAAGAGCAAATAACAATAACAGTCAATTATAAAACATCTGATTTTAATTGAATTTTAAAACAGATATGTAACGTATAAGTAGAATGCACATGAAATCATAAGCGATAATAAAATGAGCCAAATCATGCGACGCGATTAGTCGCAAACTATCGCGTTGTATTTATATATACGTAGAATTATATTTATATATAAACAAATAGATAAACTATTTCAAAATAATTTTTTGTTGTTTTTATGTTGGGAAGATATTACAGACGATGCGAATGTAACATAAGCGGCGTGATCGCGCGACCTTTCACATATAGTACGTTCTCAATACATCTATAATATAATCTAAAGTATAAAAATACAAAAATCGGTATTTTTAACTATCTCACATGAAATATTTAAAAAATAATAATAAGGCAACTAGTCCTACTTAAATCTTAGATATAAAAACAATTTGAAAATTTAATTATAAAGTATAAAACGGTGTAAAAGTGTTGTAAAAACAAAATATAACTTTAACAGAAAACTTGGTAAAATTCAAGAGAAAATTTTAAACTATAAATCGCAAGTGAGACGATTAAAATTAAGAAAATTCTCAACAAAATTCCACTAAGGTAAAAGCAGAAACAGTTTTAAAACACAAAAACTTGAAATTATTCAGGCCTATTAGATGACAATAGCATGGAAGCTGTCAGCTCTGACAAATGGAGGATATAGATTAAAGGGTTGTAAAGCTGAATATTTAAGATTCTGCATATCAACGAATCTCTTGTTTAGCAGCAACAATCGAGAGTCGATTTGCCTTGTTTTTACAAATACCTCGGAATGATTAATGGAAATTGGAGAAATGTCCAAAGACAAAATAAAGTGAAGTGACAAGTAAAACATTCAAAGAATGCGTAATTAATTTGTAAGAACATTCTTATTAATATACCTAAATCAACAAGTTGAAACTTTTAAAAATCTCATTTACTTGTCTATACACAAAGCGAATTTTGATCATTTAAATATTTTCGTAACATAAAGAAGAAGTCGACAAAAATATTTAAATGATGATAAGCATCATTAGAACCATCATTTATCGTATGGTGAACTTATAAAAGAGCTTAAAGAATTTTAGAATATTAATATATTACGTGTTGAAATGTTTACCTGCGATGTGAATTTCTGTTTCTGTTCACATGACCTCTTCCATTGCATCCGGGTGTTGGACACCTTAAAAAAGAGAGCATATTAATGAAAACACGTGTAAACTTAAAGATATTTCACAAAATTATTGAGAATTAACAATAAAAACTATACGAAATTAAAATTTATAAATAAAATAATCGAGTTAGGTTCAGTTGGAATATTTATCGTTTTGCTAAAACCCATAAATTCCTCTACTTACTTGAGTATGGTTTCATGAAGAGCAAGAACTGGAAAGAGAAACAAATTACTGTTACAAATCAACCATAAAGTAGTTGTATAAGTCACGATTTAACGGATAGAAAGAGTGGGGGAGGAATAAGGGGAAGAAAATATTGTAAAAACTCTCGAGCAAATGTTGAAGAAAAACAAACAAGCGAGTTATAGTTGAGTGGGAATCGAACCGAATGTTTTACAGTCACAAAAAGATGACGAAAGTAGCTATTCACTACAACTAGAATATATATATATATATAAAAAGAGCATGTAACGGTAGCGAAGACGAATAAAAAAATATATATATATAAAATAAAATAAAAAAATAAGGAAGCGTTTTCCGCGGTGGCCATTCCCACGCATCAGTCGGAAACTCGGAACAGATGGATAAGAGCTTTTGAAATATTGCTCCGTCTTCCGACTTTTGCTCTATTGCTCATTTCTCTGCAAGAAGTCACCGCACATCTGTCAATTTCCATCGTGACGTCACTAAACGCGTGATTTCTTATGTTCCATACACGTAAACAGCACTAATGCCATATGCACTAAAGTCGAATAAATTCGTTTCGTCACGGGATAACTCATGATTTTTCACAGAATAAATAAATTAATTAATATATTTTAGTATATTTATCATAAATAAACTTTCTGAAGTAGAAAATTCGTTTTAAAAAAATTAATTGGTTTTAAATTGACAACAAGGAAAAAAAAATTTTTACTTCTCGAAATGTTCTCTTAGATAAGTTTTCATAGTTTATAATTCATTAATCAATTTTAAATTTACTTGATAAAAATATTTTTTAAAAAGTACAAATTTGAAAGTAAATGCGAAGAGGAAGATTTGTTTTAAACATTCTTATTTACATAAAGATTATCACTAGAGAGATGCTACTTATTTCGAAATAAGAAGCAAAAAAATTCTACCAAAAAGGTAATTTCTAGTTTAGAAAGTTTTACTCGTGAGATTTACAAAAACATCAAATGATATTATTAACTTTACAGATTTGGTATCTGATCAATCTTGTTGATATTAGCTCTATAAACTATTCGCCGCTTTACATTTTATATAAATAATATAGGCTTTAAAAAATACCGTATTACTGAATAAATTAATATAAATATTAATTAAGTGGACTTAAATTGCGATAAGATAAAGCATGCCCGTGTTTTAAATTTGATAATAAATCTATTAAGTTTTGTGTTAAAATAGAAATTAATACATAAATAACTGTTTTGTGAAATCCAAATATAAACTCAGAATTTTAATTTACTGTGAAGATTCTTCATTTACTCTTCGAATTATTATTAAAAATACTAACTTACGTTATCAGGTAAGAAAGTAATCTCATATGTAGCCGAATTTCATAATATAAATGTGTAAAAATGCAGGAAAAACACAATTTTAGGATGCGAGTGATATTCTAAAAAACCGTACGTCCGCGTATGTTTATGTTTAGTTGTATATATTTTAGAAATTTTATTTGTTTCACAACATTTCTAAAATTAGTAGAATATACATACTATTTTGAGAAAGACTTAAAAACGTGCTTAATGTGCACATTAAAAAACCGATCTCTGAGATAAGAATAACAAGAAAATGTCTGTTAGAAGAGTAAATCCATCAATTTTCTGTTTAAAATTTTTAAAATTTCCTATTAACGTCATTAAAATTTAAAATTAGAATTACAGTATTACGATTCTTTATTAAATTTACATTATTTTAGAGATAAAATGGTTACGACGATTCTTTGCATCACTTACCAAGTTATGATTCGAACTGCTAATGAAGGAACAAATAAAACTGAGAAACGTATATTTTTAAATTGAAAAAAATTGTACACAATAAAATTTCTATACAAATTAATATC